GAAACCCCATACCCCCAAGGCTGGGAGATCTGCTGCCACCACTGTGAATAGGAAACGTAGGGTACTGGTGGTCAGAGACTCTCTTCTGAGGGGGACACAGGCACCCATATGTTGCCCAGACATTTCATCTCGAGAGGTATGCTGTCTGCCGGGGGCCCGTATCCGAGATGTTACGGAGGCATTGTCGAGGATTATCTGGCCCTCTGACTACTACCCCATGCTACTCATCCATGTGGGCACCAACGATACTGCGAGGTGTGACACTGAGCGGACCAAGAGTGACTACAGGGCTGTGGGGGTACGGGTGAAGGAGTTTGGAGCAGAGGTGGTATTCTCTTCGATCCTTCCTGTCGAAGGTAGGGGCCCGGGCAGAGACAGGTGCATCCTGGAGGTGACTGCCTGGCTGTGAAGATGGTGTCGCCAGGAGGGCTTTGGCTTCCTCGACCATGGGATACTATTCCAGGAAGGACTGCTAAGCAGGGATGGTGTTCACCTTTCGAAGAGGGGGAAGACCCTATTTGGACACAGAATGGCTACCCTAGTGAGGAGGGCTTTAAACTAGGTTTGACGGGGACAGGTGAGCAAAGCTCACAGGAAAGTGGAGAACATGGAGACCTGGGAGATGGGTCAGAAATGGGAGGGAGTGTGGGCTACAATGGCAGGGAGAAAGGAGGGTCAGGGCAAAACTGGAAGGCAAGGTCAAATCAGGATCTTAGATGCCTATATACAAACTAGCCAATTAGCCCGTCATAAGACGCTATTTTCAGGTCTCTCCTCCACATCGGTCTTCTCTCCTGAGAAGGAATAAGGGACCTTTTGGAAAAGGCTTTATTTTCCGAAAGATCCCCGTCTAGACTGGTGCTTTTTGCCAGCAAAGCCCCGAGCCGTAAAAAAGCGGCAGCCATGTTTATACAAATGAAGCAGGGAAAATTTAAATCCCGCACTTCGTTTGCAATTCCGACTTGTCTCATTTGCATCCCTTTTCCGGAAAAGGGGTACAGTGTAGACACAGCCATTCAGAATGGGAAGCGACTGTCTGAGAAGGAGCATGGCAGAAAGGGATCTAGGGGTCACAGTGGACCACAAGCTGAATATGAGTCAGCAGAGTGATGCTGTTGCAAAAAAAGCAAATATGTTTCTGGGATGCATTAACAGGTGTGTTGTGAGCAAGACACAAAGTCATTCTTCCTCTCTACTCTGTGCTAGTTAGGCCTCAGTTAAGATATTGTGTCCAGTTCTGGGCACCGCATTTCAAGAAAGATGTGGAGAAATTGGAGAAGGTCCAGGGAAGAGCAACAAGAATGATTAAAGGTCTAGAGAACATGACCTATGAAGGAAGGCTGAAAAAACTGGGCTTGTTTAGTTTAGAAAAGAGAAGATCGAGGGGGGACACGATAGCAGTCTTCACATATCTAAAAGGGTGTCACAAGGAGGAGGGAGGAAAACTTGTTCATCTTGGCCTCTGAGGACAGGACAAGAAGCAAGGGGCTTAAACTGCAGCAAGGGAGGTTTAGGTTGGACATTAGGAAAAAGTTCCTGCCTGTCAGGGTGGTTAAACACTGGAATAAATTGCCCAGGGAGGTTGTGGAATCCCCATCTGTGGAGATATTTAAGGGCTGGTTGGACAGACACCTATCAGGGATGATCTACATGGTGCTTGGTCCTGCTGTGAGGGCAGGAGCCTGGACTTGATGATCTCTTGAGGTCCCTTCAAGTTCTAGTATTCTATGATTCTGCATTCAACATCTGTCCCAGACCCTCCATAGATGTGCGGCCCTTGAACACTTGCCAAAATTGTGGGGTGGCTCCCCATTAACAATTACTGCCCACCCTTGCCTTACACCCTTGGTTGAGAATAGAAAGGGAAGAGGGGTGCAGGCCTAAGCCAACAGAAACTGCTGGCAAAAATCTGCTGGTCTCAGGCATATGAAGAGCGTATGTACCCACACTGGAATACTCATAAGACCCTTCTTGGTAAGAAGAAAATGAGGAAACTAACTCTAATCTCTAAGGGTACGTCTACACTACAACGTTAATTTGAACTAACTTAGTTCGAATTAGTTAATTCGAACTAAGCTAATTCGAACTAACGGATCCAGACTAAAAAGCTAGTTCGAATTAGCATTTTGCTAATTCGAACTAGCATGTCCACATTAAGTGGACCCTGAACTGGGGTTAAGGATGGCCGGAAGCAGTGCCGGCAGGGCATCAGAGGAGGACTTAGAGCGTGGAGATGCTGGCTCAGGCTAGCCGAGGGCTGTGCTTAAAGGGACCCGATCCCCACCCCGGACAGACAGTTCTCAGGGGTGCCCCGCTTGCAAAGCAGTCCTGGCTTGGATTGCCCGGAGTACCCACACTGGGCACATCACACCACTTGGCCATCATCCCGGCTGCACTTGCCGCAGGCTGCCATCTGGGGAGAGGGGACAATTGGGGGGCTGCAGGAGAGCTTCCACCCCCAGAAGCCCGCAGAGCCAGCTCAGTCTTCCCCATAGGGGGCTCGTGCCCCATTCCTCCCTCACCTCCTTCCACTTACCATTCCCTAGCCCCCCTTCTTGATGTACAAAATAAAGATAACGTGTCTTCCAAAATGGAATCTGTCTTTATTGAACAAAACTGGGGGAGACTGGGAAAAGGAGGTGAGAGGGGAAGAGAGAGGCTGGGAGAGGGGAGGGCAACTAAAATGATCAGAGGTTTGGAAGAGGTCCCATATGAAGAGAGGCTAAAGAGACTGGGACTTTTCAGTTTAGAAAAGAGGAGACAGAGGGGGGATAGGATAGAGGTCTCTAAAAGCAGGAGTTGGGTGGAGAGGGTGCATACAGAAAAGTTCTTCATTAGTTCCCATAAAGAAGGACTAGAGGACACCAAAGGAAAGGAATGGGTAGCAGGCTTCAAACTAGTTACAGAAAGTTCTTCTTCACAAAGCAAAGAGTCAACCTGTGGAACTCCTTGCTGCAGGAGGCTGTGAAGGCTAGAACTAGAACAGAGTTTAAAGGGAAGTGAGATAAAGTCATGGAGGTTGGGTCCATGGAGTGGTATTAGCCAGGGGGTAGGAGTGGTGTCCCTGCCCAAAGTTTGTGGAAGGCTGGAGAGGGATGGCACGAGACAAATGGCTTGGTCACTGTCTTCGGTCCATCCCCTCCAGGGTCCCTAGGGTTGGCCGCTGTCGGCAGACAGGCTACTGGGCTACACGGACCTTTGGTCTGACCCAGGACGGCCATTGTAAGCTCAGGGCTCAGGGTCGGGGGTCTCAGTGGACCCCCTTGATTTTCATGCACACCTGCTCCTGGGTGGCCAGGCTGGCAGCTCTCCTGCCCTAGCTGGCCACTTTCCTGTGCCTAGTGCGGAGATCGTGGACGAGGTCCATGATGTCTGTCCTAGCCCAGGCGGGTGTCCGCCTCTTGCGGTCCCGGGCAAGCTCCCGGGAGCCGCCAGCCTGGTCCCGGGAAGAGGGGGAGGGCTGGGGGGCATCGGGTGGGTGGCTCGAGCCGTGCCAGGTGCAGTGTCTGCTGGCTGGGTGCTGGCAGGCTTGCACCTGGCATGGGCACCGTAGCCAGCCCGTGTCCCTTTAAGGGGTCCGGGGCCGGGAGGGGGGCAGACGAGTTTCCCTGGTGTTGGCCAGAGTGGCCACCAGGGAAACCTGGGGAGGGCTAGCCTCCCACTAGTTCGAACTAGGCTTAATCCTCGTAAAATGAGGTTTTCCTAGTTCGAACTAAGCGCTCCGCTAGTTCAAATTAAGTTCGAACTAACGGAGCGCTAGTGTAGCGCCTATCAAAGTGAATTCGAACTAACGTCCGTTAGTTCGAACTAACTTTGTAGTGTAGACATACCCTAACTGCTCAGAACACATCTATTTACAAACCAGTGAACAAAGCACACAGTGAGCAGAGATGCTCTGAAGCGGTGATGAGCCAGGACTGGGGCTGTGTCACCCGTTATGCCCTTGGTTGGGGCACGAGGACACTCTCTCAGTTAAAATCCTTGGCCAAAGGACTCTGACCCCGAGGTGCTACGTGCACGTGCACCAGCAGCAGAAGATGTAAATATCTCTGTCCAGTCCTGGTGCAGAACGAATGGGCTGGAGACTATTCCTATGCATGGATGGAGTGATGTTAAATACTGAGTAAATGACCAATCGGGTACTCGATACGATTTCTATCGAGTACACAGTTAGTCAATAAGCTGCGGCTCTGCAGTTTAAATGGAGTAAGAGCCAGGGGTGCAGGCCTCGGCTCCTAAGACATTGAAACTGCAGAGCTGCTGCGGGAGCATTTTTCTAAGTTAAAGAGATGGGGCTTTTTGCATCTACCTCTGTAGGGCCTTTTTTTGTTACCCTTTAATAATTTGTGTGGCTCTTCTGTGGACACCAGAATGGGACACAGGATTCCAGCAGTAGCCATACAAGTGCCAAATATAGAGGTGTATATAGAGGCTCCTATTTGAGATTTCCCTGTTTATGGATCTCGGGATCGTATTAGCTCTTGGCACGGGAGCTCATGTTCAGCTGATTAGCCACCATGACTCAGAGTCACTGCGTCCCCCTTCCTATAAATAAGGGCACATTCTTTGTTCCTAGATGTAAACATTTACATTTAGCCACATTCAAATACGTGTTCTGAGCTCATGCTCAGTTTACCAATCAAGTCCACATGGTTCTGCATCAAGGATCTGTCATCTCCATCTCCCCCAATTTTGTGTCTGTATCAAAGAGGACTTCCTGTTTTCTTTCAAGTCAATGAGGATAAAAATGTTAAATAGCCCTGGGCTAAGAATCGATCCCTGCACGAGCTCTGCTCAGTGACGATTCCCCAGTTCCGTTTTGAGACCTATTAGTTAACCAGCTGGTAATCCATGTCACGTGGGCCATGTTGATTCTATATCAGTCTAAATCAAAGGGCAGAAGTTGGTATCTTGTCCCACCCACCCATACTGCCACCTCCTTGCCCGTGAGATACCCCTACACCGCCCCACACTGCCACGCCGGGGTGTGAGGGACTCACCTGTTGGCTGCTTGGTGAGTAAGAGGCATCGCACCTGGAGCTCCCAGGGCCTGACTCGCCTGCTGGAGCCTGAAAACACAGAGAAATCCATGCAGTTACTGCACACTGCAGCCTGTGCACCTGACCTGGCACTGGGACCAGGGGAAGGGGCCATGCAGCAGGGAAGCAGAGTTGGCATCTGGACTGGTGCCAGCAGCAGGCACTACACGGTGGAGGAGGAGGACTAGCCCAGGAGGCCAGGAACAGCTGCAATCCAGCCGGAAAGCACAGCCAGCGCGGCGGACACACAACCAGATGCTGTGGCAAGGCTGTCTCCCTGCATGGCACCAGCCTCTATTCATTCCATAGCTGAGCTAGAGGCCTGTTCCCCTCCAGCAAATGAAGGCCACAGGCCAGAGCCCCACCCTACCCCTACCCACTAGCGCAGAGCGCGCTCGGCCAGAGGGACAGTTCTACAGCTGGGGGCCTGTGTGGATGGGAGACTCCCTCTGTGGGCACAGGCAGCAACTGCACGGGAGTGTAGACGAGAGCTGAAGCTGGGGAGAGAAACGTTTGGCCTGAGGGTTTGGAAATGGCACGAAGCGCTGACTAGGGAGGCTAAGGGAGGCTGTGCGTCCCCAGACAGCCAGAGACGGACTGCCTCCCGACGCCCCCCCGCACTCTGCCCCCTGCAGCCCACCTGACCCCTCTCCCTCCCAGCCAACCCTCCCTCATATCCACTCCCGCCCCCCAACCCAGGAGCTCCAGAGCAGGCGGCGCTTCCCCGCTCGTCCCCCGGGCGGCAGAGGAGAGGAGAGGGGAGGGGCTGGCGGCTGGATGTGACCCACGGGCCGTGGTACGAGTGAGACGCGGACACGGGAAACAGGCTCCATCCTGCGCCACCCCCCGCCGTGTCCAAACCACCGC